AAACGTCCATTCCACAGTTTCCGTAGATGATGATGCAATAAAACGCCATTACAAACTCTGATGTACGTTTTACATGCTTATTTTTCAGTAAATGAAGTAAATAAAGTGTGTGATATAAATTATAAACTATTCTCACTAAAGTGTATAAGAGCCTACAACAACAATAATTACTATCAACACGGGATCAATATCCCGCAGGTGCTGCTAATCCGCAGGAGCAAAATCTGTGGAATATATAAAGTTGAGAGTATTGGTAATATAAGGTTTTGGTATGGGGTCATGAATTTGGTTCAAATGAACATATTGGAAGCATGCGATCTTACAATATTCAGTGATCGTTTTCGCGGTTGAAATTGAGTCGAAAGTTATGAAACTGTAAATAATAAAGTGTTCGTGTTGTATAGCTTCCTCTCAAGGTCAAGATTTTTATTAAGCCATAAAACAATGTTTCTTGACTAAAATCGACTGAATAGCTATTTTGGCTATCAATATTGTTAGGCCAAAGGGATTGACGCCTATGACAATGTGTGGCACCAATGCGATCAAAAATGACCCCCCCCCCCTTTTTTTTTTGCCTTCAAGTGGCTACCAACGACAACGAGTACAATCAACAATTGTGTAATATATTTCACTTGACTTTTCAGGCCACTTGTTTGCTGGAATACTCTGGCATATTTTCTCCTCGTCTTTATATGAGCAGGGGTCACTCGGGTCGTGCAATTTCTTCGGAGAAAAATATTTCTATTCAGGTTACACCCCTCGCGTCATTGGGCAAAGTCTATGGCTTATCACTATAGCTTGTAACAGCAAACAACCTGAGAGGCATTATACTGTTTTTGTCCTGTTTAACAAAAGAATGAACAAATAACTGCAAATCTGTGCCGGGGCCTCACAGATCTTTACCTTTTAGCAGGTATGTATATACTCAATAAACATTTTCGTGATTATGTAGGCTTTAGTTTACTGAGAAAAAGAAAGAATGCAAAAAATAAAGGATGGCGGTGATTATATGGATTGGTCAGAAAGAGAAAACTTGATGGAAACTTTCTGTCATCATCTCGATCATCTGTATCATGATTAAACAATACCGAATTCGTTTACTTTGATGTGGAGTGAGTTCAATGTTCAGGAATATGGTTAACTTTTTATCTATTCGGGGAATAATACAGCATCAAATCAAAGATTGCTTGGATAGATAAAAGCTCTCGTGTTCATGTATCTATTTTTGTCTTTAGCACCATATTCCATTTTCTCTTTCTATCTCTCCTGAGATTTTTCTTGCTTTTCTGTTTCTATTAGTCAAGTTTCATTCATTTTACCTTAGTTTTCTGTGTTGCTTACATATTTTTGGTTTAGACTGCAATGCTAACTAAAGCAAAACCATCCACCGATTAACCAATCACACAATCAATCAATTCAACTCCCTGGTCTTAATTCACGTGGGTAACATAATTATCAAAGATATTTTACACAAAGGGTATATCATAAATAAAACAATCTGTATTGTATGGTGGCCCTGAAGGGACATCGCGAATAGACTAAATCGTGAAAAATATGCGATAAAATTCACGATATCGTCAATTTTATCGCATATTTTTCACGAAGAAATTCACGAAATTGACGATATCGTGAACTTTATCGTGAACTTTTCACGATGAAATTGACGATATCGTGAATTTTATCGTGAAAAGTTCACGATATAAAGTTCACGATATCGTCAATTTTATCGTGTACTCTATCGTGTACTCTCCTGACGGGCGCTTCGTAAACAAAACCAGCCCTAGCTGGGGGAGACAGAGAGAAGGAAAAAAGGGAAAGGGAAAGAGAAGATAAAAGGAAAGAAAGAATAATAAGAAGAAAAGAGGGAAACGGGGGGGGGGGGGGCGAAGGGCTCTTGCCTCCTCCTCACCCCCCCCCCCGCCAAAAAATAAATAAGGAGAGAGAGAAGGGAAAGGGAAAGGGAAAGAAAATATAAAAGGAAAGAAAGACGGAAAGAGGGAAACGGGGGAAGGGCGAAAGGCTCTTACCTCCCCCCCCCCCCCCGCCAAAAAAAAAATAAGAGAGAGAGAGAGAGAGAGAGAGAGAAGGGAAAGGGAAAGAAAGAAGAGGAATAAGAGGGAAACAGGGGAAGGGCGAAGGGCTCTTGCCTCCTCCCCCCCCCCCGCCAAAAATAAATAAGAGAGAGAGAGAGAGAGAAGGAAAAGGGAAAGAGAATAAAAAAGGAAAGGAAGAAGAATAAGAAGAAAAGAGGGGCTCTTGCCTCCTCCCCCTCCCGCGCCAACAAATAAATAGGAGAGAGAGAGAGAGAGATAGAGAGAAGGGAGAGGGAAAGGGAAAGAAAATATAAAAGGAAAGAAAGAAGAAGAAGACGGAAAGAGGGAAACGGGGGAAGGGCGAAAGGCTCTTACCACCCCCTCCCCCCTCCCGCCATAAAGGGAAAGAGAAGGGAGAGGGAAAGAAAATATAAAAGGAAAGAAAGAAGAGGAAAAAGAATAAGAAAAGAGGGAAACAGGGGCGAAGGGTTTTTGCCTCCTTTCTTTTCTTTCTTTTCCTTTCTTTCCTATTCTCCCTCTTTTTCGTTTTTCTCTTTCTTTCTTCTCTTTCCCTTTCCTTCTCTCTCTCTCTCTCTCTTATTTATTTTTTGGCGGGGGGCGGGGGGACGAGGCAAAAGCCCTTTGCCCCCGTTTCCCTCTCCTCTTCTTCTTCCTCTTCTTTCTTTCCTTTTATCTTCTCTTTCCCTTTCCCTTTCCCTTCTCTCTCTCTCTCTGATTTATTTTTTGGCGGGGGGGGGGGGGGAGGGGGGGGGGCAAGAGTCCTTCGCCCTTCCCCCGTTTTCCTCTTTTCTTCTTCTTCCTCTTCTGTCTTTCCTTTTATCTTCTCTTTCCCTTTCCCTTTCCCTTCTCTCTCTCTCTCTCTGATTTATTTTTTGGCGGGGAGGGGGGGGGGGGGGAGTAAGGAGGAGGCAAGAGCCCTTCCCCCCCCCCCCCATTTCCCTCTTTTCTTCTTATTATTCTTTCTTTCCTTTTATCTTCTCTTTCCCTTTCCCTTTTTTCCTTCTCTCAGTCTCCCCCAGCTAGGGCTGGTTTTGTTTACGAAGCGCCCGTCAGGAGAGTACACGATAGAGTACACGATAAAATTGACGATATCGTGAACTTTATATCGTGAACTTTTCACGATAAAATTCACGATATCGTCAATTTCATCGTGAAAAGTTCACGATAAAGTTCACGATATCGTCAATTTCGTGAATTTCTTCGTGAAAAATATGCGATAAAATTGACGATATCGTGAATTTTATCGCATATTTTTCACGATTTAGTCTATTCGCGATGTCCCTTCAGGGCCACCATAGTATTGATACGTATCTAAATATATTATGTAATTTACAGGTCACTGACAAGTTTGATGAGCATACAACCTCCTTTTTTCTGACATAAATAATCTAACGTGTCGATGAATCAAAGAGATCACTAAACTTTACAAATTGATGACGAACTTGCATATTATACGCCACTGTCACTGACTGTGTAGATGTTTTATTTTTTTAATGAAACACCCTGTTGAATGAGATTGATATCAAAGTCAAATAAACAGTCAAACAACATAAACATGTAGATAATTACATGCAACTATTGCAACCATGCATTAGTTAAACAAACCCATCCCCTGACAAACAAATCAACCAACTGACCAATCACACTATCAATACAAATCTCAATCCACGTGAGAAGCTAACCAATAATATTACAACAAAAGTTGTTCTTTACACATTAAGTTATGATATAAATAGCCTACAGGTACATGGCATAAAATACAATAAAAGAACAAATGGAAAAAAAGTTTTAGCGTAAAAAATGGTGTCTGAGGCAAGTGTTTCCCTGGCAGGGATGACCTAACAGTGAAACAAACTTTACGGCTTTCATTTCATAATAATGCTTTAGGAAATAATATGTCATAACTCAGAATTCAAGATCTATAAGGTATTAACAGTTAGCCTTATATGATGAAAGCCAAAATTGAGAGAACAAAACCCCAAAAATGTACCAAGTTTTTGCCGCACCTCATCTATTATGAAGAGAAAAGCGAGTTCTGGTAAAGTTTAAAGGTGAAAAATAATGTGTGAATTTGCTCTTTTTTAAAATTTCACATTGAAAGAAATCTTTAAAGAATTGTCAAGCGAAAATGATACCTCTCCAAATGCCCTCATATTCAAAATCTGACGAGAAATAGCTGAAATGTTTGGACCAAACGTTTAGGCCATATGAATGTGTAGTCCCATTATGTGCATTGACCTTTTTCAGTCAATTTCTAAATCATGTTGATGATTAAAAAACCTCTAAGTATACAACAGTTTTTATATTATAATACCACATTTACCAATCGCTTCCGGAAAATGTCTTTCGCAATGTAACATGACCAGAATTCAAATTTATCTTAAAATCTCGAGTTGTAAAACTACCTGTAGTCTTGTGGTTATTCATTCGTAAAGGAATGTCAGCACTCCGATGTGACTATTGTGATTAGCTGTTGAGGTGAGTGATTGGCTGGTTTGTAAAGCCGGTGATTTTTCATCGCCTTTTCTTTCTTTTTTTGCGGCTCCTGACTTGCATTTTCTCCAAAGTAGTACTTCGAATTGAAAGATCGCAAGGTGTATTGTCTATTCTCTGTGACGTCACTTCATATGCAATGTTATAACACAATGAACGAGTCAAAATTGACACCCTATTTTGCCGGAATAATAATAATAATAATTACAGTGCTTATATAGCGCCTAACACTTACTTTGTCAGAAGTCTCTAAGCGCTCTACAATAATGCAGCATAATTACATGTATTTTCAAACACATTTCCCACATAATTTGTGCAAATGATAAAAAAAAATATAAAAACAGGCTCTATAGTTGAGCTAAATATAACCCTGTTATAGGCGTAGAGATACATAGTTGAGCTAAATATAACCCTGTTATAGGCGTAGAGATACATAATCACAAAAGCACTCTATTTTGCATAAACATGTACATACGCATTTACATATTATTCGCGAATATCTTTGAAAATAATTTTATGACCCATTTTTTCGCGAAATTTCTTGCTCTTTCAACAAACTTCATACCCGTTCGTAGGAACATGTTATTATCTTCGCGAGCATCTCCGAAAATTACTCCGTAGTAAGCCGAATTTCTAAGAATCATGCAGTGACAAAGTCAGAATGAATTGAATCCCACCACCGTGTGACTGTTCTTTGTTCTTGATGTTTCAGACCAACTCTTCTCTCTAGTTATATTTTGCATGTAGCAATATGAAGCTGGAAAAAGTTAAAATTCAGCCCGATTTGAAGAGCAGGAAAGCGACTTGTCCCAAATAGAAGTAGATGAAATGCTTGGTCTCGTGCGTCACGTAGCTGCCGAAGTTGCGGCCGACGATGCAATGCCAGGTTGGGTTGTACTTCTTGTCGAACTCCTTCTTGATGTAGGCGGCGATGTCCTTCTCGATAGTGAACTTGTCAATCGCCTGGCCGGCCACATTAGTAGCGTCTTGCAGCATGTCTTCTGACATGTCAACGTTCTTGATCACGACCTTGCGTTCAGACATGATGGCGGTTTAGAGTGATGATTTAACTGCAAAGAGAAAAAGAGGAACCTCAGTAATCGTGATTAGATTCAAGTAGTTATCAATTATCAGGCGCGGATCCAGGATTTTCCAATAGGGGGGGGGGGGGGGGGGGGGGGGGGGGGGGGGGAGGGGGGGGGGGGGGGGGGGGGGGCCGGAAATTCGAAATTCGCGCAGACCGTTATATAAACTTACCAATACTGACAAGGTCATATTAGAAGCACTGTACTTTAATAGTGTATTGGTACCTACAAACGGGCACAATTATTTTGGAAAGGGGACATGCTCACGTCACATCTCTTGTTCCGATATCAACATTCCCCGTTTTCAAGTTATGCTCGCGCAATTTTTTTTGACATTTCCATCAGTGGGGGCTGAAGCCTCTTGCCCCAATATCTATTTCCTGGTTTAATAATTTGGCGAGTGAGCGAAGCGAGTGAGCGGAAATTTGAGCTTATGTATGTTGTGAAAAGTGTTAATTGTCACCAAAATATACGAGATAAGATATAACAAATGCATATTGGTAATTTTTAAATTTTCGGGAAAGAGAGGCTGCAACACCATCACGCATTAACTGCGGTGTTTTTGAAATCAAATCAGACTCCCCAAAAATTGTTAACCAAACGCACGAATCCAGTTTCAAAATCCAAAAAAATGTCAGCTTCAGAGGGGGGCCCATCACCCATCAGACTCCCTCTAAAAGTATTAACCGAATCGCACGAATCTAGGTATAAAAAAAAATCAGCTTCAAGAGCTAGAGAGGAACCCCCCCCCCACACACACACACACACCCTGTGCGCGCAAGCGTAAAATTAACGCTGGCGCTAATGCGTAAGCAGGGGCGGAGGAGCTATTTCCAAAGTGGAAAGCACCAACAAAAAAGGGCACCTACAAAGCGAAATCTCAAAGCGAAAATATACATTTTTTTAGACATTGGTATATACCCTTTCATTGTGATCCCATTATCAGGGACGATTTCAATATTTGTTTTTCTTTATATATCATACAAGTTATTGCTTAAGCATCACACTTTCGGCTAAGTGTGATTGTCTGAATATTCATTTGCGAGCGAGCAAAGCGAGCGAGAAAAAATGTAAGATCTGTGAGGTCGTAGAGTAAAAAATTACATCTTATAAAGAGGGAAAAAAAATCATGATAAGGTTATAAGCATCACGGAAGACTAAAAAAACATTTGTTTTAAAGTGACATATAATTGTATCATCTATAAATGCGAGCGAGCGAGCGAGCTTTAGGGGAAATTACTCTTAGTCGCTTTAAAATTAGGTGCAAGACTAATGATGAGCAGGTTAGGGGGCACGTGCCCCCCCCCCCCCCGTGCCCCCCCCCCCCCCGATGATGAGAGGTTAAGGGGACACATATCGAAAGGATAAAGACACTTATTAGAAAAGAAAAGGAGCATGTGTCAAGGTACAAAGAGTAATTATCAAAGGTTCAAACTGGGGCACTTCTTACACCTGAAAGGAGGCACTCACCAGAAATGAGATAGGGCACTTATGAGTATGGGAAATGGGCATTTGTCGACGGAAAAGGGGCATCCATCAGAAATTTTATTTATCAGAGGTGAAAAGGGGCATTTATGAAAAGGGGATAGGTCCCTATATAGAAAGGAAAAGGGGCACGATTCAAAATTAAAGGGCAGTTAGCAAAGGTGAAAATGGGCACCCATCATAGATGAAAAGAGTACTTATCAGGAGGGGAAGGGGTACTTTTCAAGGTAAAATGAGCATCTCTCAGATTTCGAATAGGGGCATTATCGGAGGTGAAGAGCGCACTGAAGTGAAACGAATTAACTTCATATATATGAAATGGTCATTTACCAGAGGTGAAAAGGGACACTTTTTTATTTATGAAGGGCCTCATTTTTCTAAATAGCCTTATCAGATAGGAAAGGGGCACATGTGTTGATGAAATGTGCGCTTATCCGAGTTAAAAAGGGAAGGGGCACTTCTTTACAAAGTAAAAGTGGCCCTTTTGGGGGGGGGGTACTTGAAGAGTGGGGCCAACTTTGCCCCCTACCCCTGCCACCCGCCCCATCATCTGAAAATCCAAAATGATGTTGTAGGGGCCGGGCGCGGCTTTATCATGAGTGCTTTTATGTGAACCTCTTTTTTTATAAATATATTATGCTGGATTCTGACCCAGATTGCACACTCTAAAATGATAGTATGATCATCCCCAATAACGCTTGTAGTTCACGTATGCACCCCTTCCTCCTAATTCGTCGTTACCGTCACTGCCATTTACGTATGGCCGGCGTATTTTTTATTTACACGCTAGCGAGGGAATTTCTCGATTAATTCCATGAAACCGCTTAAAATTCCAATTTACATCCAGGAGAAGTTTGCTTAACTTTTTCTTGAAACACTTGAACGGTTATGGAAACTGTTTGTGTTTCTAATCTCCAATATTAATATTATTCTGCATCAAATATAAAACATTGATTTCTACTGTGATATGTAAAGGCACGAACTTACGTTAATACATACACATATTTTTTTTGTAACCAAGAAGGCGCACCATGGTAATACATTTAACAAACACATCAACATGTTACCTAGACAACTCATCACCATAGCCATTGTAAAACCATATATAATGATACATGTAAAATATAGATTGAAGCAATTCTCGTCGATTGGCTGTATCCGAGTGTGATTTATATAATGGATTTTGAGTAACATTTGCATCTACCTGTAGTTGAAGAAAAGATACAGTGTATAACATCAATTAAGTTGGAGTTCAATTGGAAGGAAGTAACGACGAATATTGAAGCAAGGGAGACTGGGAGATGAGGAAAGCAGAAAGTTAGAAATTGAGAGATACTCGCGTGATAGCCTTGCATTAATGAATCCTTTATATAATGTTGTTCTTGAGAGAAAGTAGACGATTTTTTTTTTAAATTGGAGATTAGTGCAAGTATTAGATATATTGAAATAGAATTAATGAGAAAGTTATTTTTTTCGAGATCAATACATGGGGGGGGGGGCACCATCAAAATAGGGCACTTTCTGGAATATAAGGTACACCTACAAAGGGAAACATCAAAATGTAATCTACCATATTAAGACATTGATAGACGTACGCGTAACGCATGTCACACACAGAAAAATGAGAAGAAAAGAAAGAATAATTTTTTTTTAAGAAGATAGAGGAAAGGAGAGAGACAGAGAAAGGGGAGAGAAAGAAAGAAAGAAAGAAAAAAGGAAGAACATGAAACTTAACTTTACACTTAGGCCTACATATTACATTTCCGACTGAGTTGGCTCGACATGTGCTGAAGTAGTCTGCGGACGAAAGTACAACAATACGAAAACAGAAGTTATATGAAATTGTCTTTAAGAGAGAAAGAGAGGTTAAATTCTAAAATGAAATGAAAGGGGTTATGTGACTCTCAAGGAGGAAATTACAATTTCTATCGCTCATGACGACTATTTGGAATTCCTAATTTTTTTTAAAGTTCAAGAACTTCCTGGGGCTCCGCCCCATGCAAGACTCTCGGCAACAGCAAATTATTTACACAATTTCTTGCTGTCTGCTGCCTCGAGATCACTGGAGCGAAGAAAGGTAACATATAGCAAGAATCCCTATTCAGTGAAGGATTTATCCCTTTTATTATTAAAGACTCCGACAAAGGCTCTCCCCCTGCAAAATTGGAGAGAGTTTTATGTAGTTTAAGCTTCTAACAACCACGCCCGTGGACCTTTTATTATTTACACAAAGGTAAAAGTGTATAGCAAGAATCCCTATTTAGTGAAGGATTCATCCTTTTTATGCAGATGCTTCTTCTACCATTCTTGACCAGAAGTGCGTTTCAAACTCAATGATATGGGCATCATCCCATTGAATGTTGTGTCCAGTGTTACGGGTTTGTTTTGCTACTTGCTGCCTAATCTGAGGGCTCTGTTGTGCTCTTTAAAAAGAGGACACAATAGGGGCGGCGCAATTTAAATATCAAGGAATGTATTAGAGTTTATTTCTAAAATGAAATGAAAGGGCTATTTGACTCTCAATAAAAACTCTAATCCATCCCTTGAAATTTAAATTGGACTGCCCCCATTCAGTGTGCCATTTTCAAAGAGCACAAAAAGGCTTCAGATTGAAGATTCCATCTCATAAAATCGTCTATAAGAGAGAAAGAGAGTTTATTTCGAGAGAAAAAATGAAATGAAAGGGCTACTTGACAAGAGCCCTTTCATTTCATTTTAGAAATAACCTCTTTTTTCTCCTAAAGACAATTTCTCTCTTGAAAAGGCTCTGCCAGACCCCTCAAGCTCTGCCATGTTGTATGGATCCATTAGAAAGCAAAATAAGCCCACTCAATAATTGATATAAATTATATTAAAACGTCATAGCCAGGGCTCAAATTAATTTTTTTGTCCACGGGGGCTCTTCCCCCCCCAAAAAAAAAGAGCCCCCGTGAGCCTTCTCACGGGGGCTCTTTTAGTACTGACGGGGGCTCTTTTTTTATACAAATATCCATTGATTGGTACCTATGATACTCCTCAATTATTTGCTATTTCATCATTATCATTCCAATCAGCATTTTCCCTCTTACAAATTTACAAGCTACATAGCTGTTACTGGCCTGTGTATATGATATATACGCATACAACACTGATCTTTATGATGTCTTTAACGTGACATATCTTCTTCTCCCCTTGCAAACGAGAAAGAAAACAAGGTCATTAAAAGGGATTAAGCGACAAATAATGATTGTGATTCAAATTGATGCGAATATTTGTTTTGAATAAGCACTGCTATTCCACCCGAATCTTCTTTGTAAAAACAACTTTTACAATCTCAGTCATGCTTACTGAGTTGAGACGTTCCATTCAATGTAAAATACTCATTAAAGAATACACTTCTCCTAATCTGAAAGTGATCTTACAACACAGTGGCAGATTTGCATGGCTGAGATTTGTAAAAGTCGTTTTTACAAAGAAGATTCTGGTGAAAAGCATTGCTTATTCAAAAAAATCCTTGCATCAATTTGAATCACAATGATTATTTGTCGCATGATCCTTTTATTAAATAACCTTGTTTTCTTTTTTGTTTGCAGGGGGAAAAGAAGCTATGTCACGTTAAGAAATCATAAAGATCAGTTGTATTATGCGTATATACATTATGATACCAGAACAAATGTTGATTATCAGAATGTCATTTTGGAATACCTCTATACAAATACCACATTGTCTTTAGCCCGTATCAGTATTAGTATCATGCAATATAAAGCTATTATTCTTTATTTAATTCAGTATAATGCTTTTCCTCAAAAATAGTTTTGCCATTTTGTTAGGGTTGAGACGCTAAGAAATGGTTTCAAATGTACATTACACGAACCCCTGAACCATTGCAAAATGATGGTGGTTCTCTCTCTCTCTCTCTCTCTTTACTTTAATCATGCATTATCAACTACATATAAAGCAGCAACCAAAAACTTAGGGTTATCTGAGATAGGTGAAAGTAAGAGTTAAAAAGAAAGTCATGCTAAAACGGCGCTTCACTCCCCCCCCCCCCCCATGAAAAAAATAAAATAGATTAGTAGTCCTCCTCTTCAGCACCCCCCCCCCCGCTTTAATATCACATTTTCACTTGGCAGCCCAAGGGGGCCGGGGTGGGAGGAGGGGGTTAAACCCCTAACCCCCCCCCCCCGTAGATCTGCCCATGTTACCATATCATTCCACGACATCTTGGTCTTCCTCTTCTTCTCAATAGGGACTTTTAGATTTGCGTGGACGTGGACGTGTTACGTCCTTTTAAGGCACTGGCAGTCACATGTCACGTCCTTTTTAAGCACTGGCACTGCCTTAAAAGGAGGTCACACGTTGCAGTCCACGTTCTCATCGTGCAAATCTAAAGGTCCCTAATATTGATTTACTGGTCGAGGTTCATTATTTGCTAGTCATTTGAAATCACCAGATTTCAGCGGGTTAACACTTTCACAACGAAAAACTTCTCCCTGACCATGTTTCTGCCCTTGCGCGATCGCCTCCAGCTCCAGCAGACATAGCGCGGCAGCGTGCACACGTACCGCTACTAAGGGCGCAGTAGGCCTATAACCACTGCTGACGGCGGCACTGCACTGTGAGCTGAATTGGTAATAATAGGCCTACTCATAAAACAAGAAATCTTGCACGCTAATCTAAGTTCCATTTCATTTGAAAATTGAAACTCAATATTGTGTTAAAGTTATAACAGAAAAGAAAATCTTTATATTATAATTCCACGGGGGCGATTTTTAATTTTGCAATCGCCCCCGTGAGCAACCTGACGGGGGCGATTATGTAGCTCACGGGGGCGAATCGCCCACCGCCCCCGTGTATTTTGAGCATAGCGATTCATCCAAATAAGAAATCCAAGTATGAGGCATTTTGAAAGTTTTAAGAAAATTCTTTCAAATTCCAGGATATTGGGTGTTCTTTTTCAGGAAACTCTATTTAAACGAGTGGAAGCACTGGCGGTTCTGTTTTTTTAAACTGTAACAATTCTCCTTGGATCAGATATAGACCAAAAACAAGCCTCATTATCTTCAGTATACAAGTGTCATTTCGGACCTTACAGCTTTCATAGAAATCGCTTCTGGACCGTCAAAGAAAAAGTTTGAGAACCCCTGGTCTACGCATTATACACATCAGGACCAACTTGACAACTTGACAAAAATTTGAGGGGGGTTCGACCCCCCTCCCCTCTCCCCCCTCCCCCTCCCCCCCCCCCCCTCCTGCGTACGCGCCTGCATGTGCATCCCTTCCTCCTTATTCCTTATCCATCGTTACGGTCACTACCATTTGAGTAGGGCCGGCCCCCTCCTTAATAACGACTCCAAAGCCATAATTTATAGATTACCATTCTCCCATTCTTTGGAGGGGCCGGGCGCGGCCTTTTCAGAAGTGTTTCTACACTTACCTTTTCATGCACTCCGGCTTAACATAAACAAGCATGCTAAGATTGTTTTGAAAAGAGCATAATTTCGACTCAGTTTCGCATAACCTAAAAATAAGAATACGGCCAGTCACCCCTTCCCCCCCCCCCCCTCCCCTCAATGCATCCGCCTTCACGCACCCCCTTCCCCTTGTCTTTCCCTTATTCGTCGTTACTGTCACTAATTTTTAGTGCCATTTCGTCGTCTTTCTTTCTCCCCGGCTCCTCTCTTCTTTTTCTTTCCTCTTTTTTGAACTCTCTCTCTTTTCTTTACTTTTTTGTTCTCTTTTCTTTTATCTTCTCCTTTTCCCCCCTTTTTTTTCCTTCTTTTTTTCTTTCTCTTTTTTCGTTCTCAATTTTTTTTGCTTCGCCAATAGGGGGGGCCGCGGCCGTTTCGGCCCACCCCTGGATCCGCCACTGAATTATCACATACATTCCTGGCGGTTATCAAAAATCATTCTAGCTGGGACGTTATGACAGGTTTCCATCCAGGGAAAACAATAAAACTAAACCGCTAGTGTTTTGTTTTTTATATAATGATTGAAACGTGTAAAATTGATCAGTTAGCAAATACAGACCGAGGCAATATCAGTAATATATTTCTTACTTTATGAAACAATAAAAATGTAATAACGTTACAAGCAAAAGGTTTCTTTCTTTGTCTTTTATCTTAGACTATGCACATCCTTTATTATGTCTTCAGTTGGAAAACAGGCGAAGATGGTCAATGTGAGTTGTCAATATTTTGACTACTTTTGAGAAAGCAAGGAGAAAGTGACTACTTTTTCTATACATCCACACCATTGAGGGCAAGAAAGTGTCGGGCACTTTAAATTTGTTTTTTTTTTTTTTTTTTTATCTAGGAAGTGTTACACCCCTTTCCGGTAAACGATTTTGTCGGTTTTTGTATATTTTGTAACGTACGCCCATATCTCTTCCTTCTACCAAAATTTGCTCCATGGGGCTAAAGAGGAAAACTTGAACTCATTGTTAGGGGACACAACCGCTTTGGCCTGACGGAATTTTTTGTGTTTTGTAATTTACAGTTATATTACTTCGATATAGAAAGATAGATAGATGGAGTGAGATTGACCCGGCTGTGGGATGTGCTTTGGCCGGGCTCCGGAGCTATTGGACCCGACAATTACAGTCAGACTGACAACCGTATTTTGACACTGAGTTAGATGGTCCGAGTAATTTTGAGGAGTAAAGTCTTATTGGTAATATAGGCTCCGAGATTATAATAACCATGATGAACAATAATGTACGAGGCTACATTACCCATTAGGTCAAATAGTTTCTCGTCCTATTTTTTTCAGAGGATGAGGATGACGAGTAGGTCCCCTGATTCAATAAATATTTCCAGTAAATAAAATAATGTGCTATTATTTTTGGTTAATTTCACAGCAAAATTATTTTGCTCATTATGCGGCTTAGAACAAGGTGAAATTGCTTGATTATATTGTTTTTTGTGTATAGGCCTATCTAACTAATTTTATACCAGTGAATTTGATGGTGAATAACATTCTCAAGAGTATATTAATAAATTAGAGAGCAAAGTCCATTTTGCTCGCTCGCAAATTCTCGATTGTTTTTGGCATAGGGATACCCGGAAATCCTCCGATTCGGCCAGTGAATGAGGAAGAAGCTATTGTTACTACAATGAAAGTGTATGAAGGTTATTCTCGCTCGCTTCGCTCGCTTTCACAGTAATGTATTGTTTACGCATCGCATTGCTCTGGGTGCCGAAAGGCCCGAAATAGCTAGATAGTAGATACCCCCATTGGAAATACAGTTATGTACAGTAAATATAGCGCCACAATTAAGACAAAGGTTCAATTATAAATAAAGTATAACTCTTATTATGTCACAACAATGGTGAATATTCGAGAAATTCTAGGATTCGTAAATCGTCGCCAACTGGCTGGGTGTATATAAGGTATACGATTGAAACCGTATATGCGATAGCTTTACAATACTTGCGAATAATCCCGTTTCCATACAAAATTCACAACTAAGTACTAGACTATACACACAACAAATGTAAACATCCAAACAAACAAACTCTGTGTTGGTCATGCAGCTCATCGTGAATGCAAGTATAAAAGGAATATAAGACAAGGAGTGTTGGCAAATACTCACCGGTAGAAGAAATATGTATATAAATATAAATCAGCAAAAATAGGTGTCTCGATCTGTACGGATAATTATTTAAGTATGTTTTTTCTCGTAGCTCGGAAACGGATGAGTGAATGTGGGCGACCGGCGACCAGTGATTATAATATACACTGATTTTTCTTCTACATGTAGACGATCTCCATTGGTCGAGCTTGAATAGTTTATATAGCTTTCAACACTAGCTTTTAACAAGCTTTACGGTCTTTACCCATCCTGCAGAGCGTAGGAGAGACAGTAGTTTTCTTTTAGCTTACCTGGAATGACATGAATAAATTTGGATTAAATAGCTAAGCAAAAGTTATCCTGACCAACGAATGCACTTTCATTCTTTATGCAACGAATGAAGCATGAACCCCAAAGAAGAAATAGAGATTTTTTCAAGGAGCCTTGGTCTTTGAAGAAATGAAATGTATTAAGAGACAATATTGGTTGAAGAGGTTTGGGTAAAGTGAAAGCTAGAGATACTCATTTTTATCTTCAATCTTTGGCGTATGTATATTGTTAGAGCTTATCGAACCCCTGTTTGGTGAATAATATTTACCTTCAAATAATTGTCATGTCCCTAAAGACTTGAATTGTAAAAAAAAAAGAAGGGGGCGTCAGCATCTAGTAGTAATGTTATAAAGTTTCGCCCCCTCCCTATTACGTAAGATTAAGATTCCTAGATTCGCCCATTTTGCATACCCCGTGAGTTTTACCAATTTGGGATCTGGCTGTCTAAAGGCGTCAATAAGATGATCGAACCATGATGTGAACCCCCCCCCCCCCCCCCCATATTTGAGTTTTGTTAGTAGGAACTTTTAGATTTACACGACGAGAACGTAGACCTCTACATGTGACATCCTTTTAAAGATACTCTGTCCCTTTTGCAGCCAACATCACAGTATGTAGAACTTTGCAGGAATTGTGAATATGTCATGTGTGTCCTATCTATGAAATTTAAACGTTTAAAGGGTACATGAGCATTTGTCTACTTCAATAACGCACTTCTTGTAATGGCCAAAATTAAACTGATTGAATCTTTGTGCAGCATAAAACATACAACCATTCGGTACAATGGTCTGAAAAATCAGACTATTACTTACTGGCTCTATAGCTCTTAAGTCGACTCGACAACTAATAGTCGTTATTTTCCCTCTTAAAGACATTTTCAAGCCCCCCTTTTTTAGGGAAGTTCTAAATTAGTATTATCTTTCAAATGCCATTGGAATTTAACTTTTTCATTTTTTGGCCTGCAAATGGGACATAGTACCTTTAAGGCAATGTCACATTGTCTAAAAAGTATGTCACACGTAGATGTCCTCGTTCTCGTCGTGTTAATCTAAAAGTCCCGGATTATTTTGTGTAGATGTCAAATATTATAGAATTTATTCTTCTATCAATCTCTCAATCTTTGCTCAAATTGTTTTCATATACATTCTCTCTCTCTCTCTCTTTTCTCTCTCCCTCTCGTGCGTCCTTACTAATATTCTTTTCAGTCTTTTTGTTGGCTGTCCTGGTTACCCTTCTTTTGTTTCTCATCTCCCTCCCTCTCTCTTTCTCTATCGCTTTGTTGGTCCATCTCTTGCATGAAATGTTATCCTTCTGCCTTTCTAATTATTCCCTTTCATCCTTTTTATAAATTATCTTTTTAATAGCCCCCCCCCCCCCCCTCTCTCTCTCTCTCAATTTCTCTCTATCAATCTTTATTTATATGAAATCCCAAATTTTTTCCTTCTGATCTCTCATCAGTGTATTTCCATTGCTCTTCTAATAATGTTCTTCACTCACTCAATTATTCCTTGTTCGCATTCAACTGGTATCACGTTCTGATGAGCAAACTTTTCACATTATGCAAACTTCAATCTCGCTACCATAAAACCAAAAGGTCTCTCCATTCTAAGACAACCTATCAATCGTTTTTGTCACAGATGAGATTCACAGTGAACGGAATTCAAAATTTCTTTCAGTTTTAATATGTACAGAATATATACAAATTTAAATTGCATAGATTAATTCTATATTCCATTTTGAGTGATAAATGGATAGATGTTATGAATAATAATCTGGAATACTAATTAAACAATAATTAGACAGGCTAGATATTTTTTTTTTAAAGTTAAACTAGTACATAAACTAGTGATAATTACAAACAGATAACAAATTTGCTCAAGTTCATTTTTTTTGAAGTCATGTTCAAAAGTCGATTTCTCCATTCTCTTGTGTGAATAATGAAACTGATATTTTCAGATGAGTTCTGATGTTTTGTCTGACATCGCTATCGTCACTATCATCGTCATCACCCTCATTATCGTTTCGCTCACATCCTTCGTCGTCATCATCGATGGACGGTGATGAAAACCTCAAAGGAGTGCGTCGGAATGACCACCAACCGGGAGCACCATCATCATGTCGAAAAACACAGCGAGTGTCGGCACGAGGGTTCATCGTGTTCCGTCGGCGCTGTCGAACTGCCGTCATGTTGATAAGTTAAGAAGGCCGGGCGCTGCAGATCAAAGTTCAAGGACGTTCCAACTTCCAAAGATGAATATACCACATTCGTAACTTTGTTGGTTCCAGAACTCTTTCACATCGATGGGTTCAAATGATTGATGTACAGGAATCAGTTTGTGAGGATGGGGTTATAATTTAGAAAGAGTTTGATATCAGACGAAATCTATCCCGATTTGAATAGAAGCACGGCGATTTGTCCGAGGTAGTAGTAAATGAAATGCTTGGTCTCGTGCGTCACGTAGCTGCCGAAGTTGCGGCCGACGATGCAATGCCAGGTTGGGTTGTACTTCTTGTCGAACTCCTTCTTGATGTGGGCGGCGATGTCCTTCTCCAGATTGAACTTCTCCATCGCCTGGTTGCCGCATTCGATTGCGTCTTGCTGCATGTCTTCTGACATGTCAGCGTTCTTGATCACGGCTTTGCGTTCAGACATGATGACAGGTTTGCGTCTGTAAAACAAAAATGAAAAATGTAAACAATGGTCAAGGGTGAAATTGAATGCAAAAATATAGAGAAAATGAAATTACATCCTAAATATCTTCCACTTATGACATAGAAATTCCAAATAAAATACAATTACAGTTCCCTTAAAGGTACTATGTCCCATTTGCAGGCCCAAAAATAGAAAAAGTTAAATTCCAACTGCATTTGAAAGATTATACTACTAATTTAGAACTTCCCTAAAACAGGTGGGGCTCGAAAATGTCTGCAAGTGGGAAAATAACGACTATTAGTTGTCAAATCGACTTTAGGGCTATAGAGCCCAAAAGTAATAGTCTTGATTTTCAAACAATTGTACCGAATGGTCATACGTTTTATGCTGCGCAAAGATTCAATCAGTTTAATATTGGCCATCACAAGAAGTGGGTTATTGATGTAGACAAATGCTCATGTACCCTTTACAACTCTTTTCATGTATGTTATTACCAAAGAAGAAAAAAAGCCAGTCAGTCACTCAATAGTGTCTGACAGTGAAGTCTAGCAAGTAAACGGGTTTCCTTGCATAATTTCAATATGAGGACACTGCTAATGTTTAAATTTCACAGATAGGACATGCATGACATATTCATAATTCCTGCAAAGTTCTACAGAATTTGAGGTTGGCTGCAAAAGAGACATAGTACCTTTAATACAAAATACCAGAATGTGAAATATCTAAATAATTAGGAAATATCGAATAAAAAAGAAACCATTAAAATGTTTTAAAATAAATGAAAGGCCAGAACACCTGTGTTAGAAGAAGCACTTTTGAGTAAAAATGGCAGAGCTGCACACAAACCAAATGAATAATATCTAAAAAAATTCACATTTCTTTGAAACAGATGAGTGAATATCAATATAATATTCACATGACCTTCCACCCAAAAGACTATAAAACCATTAAAAATACACGTTCGTTGATCTTACCTTCGATTTCAAAACGATTAGGAGAAAGAGAGAAACACGTCCAGTGATCAGCGGAGAGGTGCAGCAAATAGCGGGACGGGTTTCATATCACTCGCTTAGCGATACCTAGCAACCAAGCCGTTGTTCTGTTGGTGGAGGGCGGTTAATCTTTCCGTAGCTTGTAACAAAACGGCGGGCTTCGTTCATGCACAAAAACAAACTGGTCGAGTGGTTAAGAATGCGAAGCACACACGATGAAAAGGTATGCAGCTTATCAATACAAAAGATCATTGATTTTGATCACTGAGCGTACATACGCGTATTATAGCTTGTAACAGTAGCTTATAACAAATAGGTTCATTACAATTTATAATGACGCGTTAATGGCATCTTCCGGAGAGAATAGGGACTTTTAGATTTGCGTGGACTGATACGTTTGACGTCCATTCAAGGCAGTGCATTAAAAGGACGTCGATCGTAGCAATCCACGTTGTCGTTGTGCAAATCTAAAAGTCCCTATTAGTCAAGCAAAGATCAGCCCAACGAATAGACGCTTTCATTCGTTTTATACAATGAATGAAGCATGTATTAACCCGAAAATTTCGAAGCCTAAAAAGGAATAAAGATTTCTACAAGGAGCCTTGTAGAAATAAAACATCCCAAAGAGACTATAATTATTGATTAAAGAGGTTTCGGTAAAGTGAAAGGTAAAAAAATACATGTTTATCTTCAAAGCTATGGACTACTTGTTTTGGGAATTTCATGGTGAAATGTAATCGTTTGAGCTGATCGAACCTCTTTTTTGTGAATTATATTTGCCTTCATATAATTATTATTTCCCTAAAGTTCCGAAATCAATAACAGTTGGTAGCGAACAATAATGATGTCGGGAATGATCGGCGTTGGGTTCCTATAGATTCGTCCATTTTGCATATAGGCCTACCTATACCTGCCCTGTGAAATGTAATTATTTTGAATCTGGCTATCTAAAAGCTTCAATGAGAAAAAGCTTCAACCATTATGATATGAAAATCCCTTTACACTTTAGTTTTTAGTGTCAACTATTCTATCGGCACATTGGTAGTCATCTCTCATTCTTACTGTTAATACTACATGTACTAGCCAAAGCTTGCAAATAACCAAATTGGAATTAAGAGAGTTCCGCTAACCCGTTACAATAATAGTTGGGCACAATATAAGAAAGCAATGAAAGAACAGGGACTTTCAGATTTGCAGGTCGACATAGTGGACTGCTACATGTGACGTCCTAAGGCAAGTCCACTATGTCGACGTGCAAATCCAAAACTCCCTAATATACGCCTTACACTCGGCACTTGACAAGCACAAGTTACGATATTACGCCAACGGCGGTCTGTACTATACTGGAAGAAGAAGAAGAGAAACCAAGTTGGACAAACTCTCCTAATCAATTGCTCTGCGAATAACGTTTATAGCACGCCATCTACGTCACCATGTATGACATCTACGATTAGATATCTTTATGATTATTACTGATCTCTCCGTTTAAAAAGAAAGAAAAACAAAACTAAATAGAACACTCACTAAAATTTCCACACACAAAATTGGCTAGAGATTAATGGTCAGGCGCGTACACAGGGGGAGGGGGGGGGGGGGGGGGGTTGGGGGGTTAAACCCCCTTTGGTATTTTTGTGTGTGACCCAGCGCTCAAAATACACGGGGGCGGTGGGCGATTCGCCCCCGTGAGCTACATAATCGCCCCCGTCAGGTTGCTCACGGGGGCGATTGCAAAATTAAAAATCTTACCCCCCCCCCCTCCCGCTTTTTCAGCGGCTGGCTGAGTCGTTGCGAAATTTTCGGCCCGATTTATAAATGTTAAACCCCCCCCCCCTTTAAAAAAATAATGCGTACGCGCCTGTTAATGGTACTTATAATTCTGTCCTCGAGATGAAAGTTCTGTTCACAAACCTGAGCCATACAAACTATAATAAAAATGTCAATGCATAATAATAGACTGATCCTATAGCCATTAACCCTAAAAAGGCCGGGCTATTTGAGGCCTTAGTACGGCCGCCGGGGGGGGGGGCATTATGGCCTCCCCCTTAAGATCTCGGCCGCAAAGGCCGCGAAAATTTGCACGCATGTCAAGTGAAGTGTATAGAATAGTATGATAATTTCAAATTTTTGAAAAATTCACTCATTTGCATATTTATGGGAATTTATGTAAATATAGTCATAAAAATCACATTTTTACCCATAAATCATATATTATTCATATTTAAGCATTCTTTTTCACTACATATATTCATTAGACCATTCTGAATAATAATACGATAACAAAATTTGGAAGAGTCAGCTTATTCCTTATGTTATCCCTTGTTTTGATAATTTCTTATGTATTTCATTGTTTTTTTAACTTGTGTATTTCATTGTTTTTTGTTGTTTTATTTCATTTTTAAGTACAATTCAACTATTTTGACTCTCAAAACAACCGCCTAAACTTAAACAAGACCCAATAACCCATGTTTGATCTGTTTTTAGGAAAAAGGATTTTTCCATAAGTTTTGTACACAAATCACGAAAATGAGCGATTTTCGGGCTGACATGCAAAGACAAAAGGTCACGTGACCTTGCAACCGTAGGTCCGATTTTCAAAAAAAATATTTTAAAAGTTGCGCAAGACTCGAAAGAAAAAAGTCAGCGAGCAGCGGGGCGCCATCCATATGCGTTCCCGAGCAATTATAAAAATCGTGGAGGGGGGGGGCATAATGGCCCCCGGCCTTATTAGGGTTAAATGTATGAGATTTACCGGGTATTCCCCATGATATTCCGCGAAACAGATGTGTACACGCCCGGTTGTAATACCTAGTTAATTTATATCAAATTGACAGTACCTCAATTTGATTTATTCGCAATAAACATTCTAATAATAGATTTCAGTACATCATTGTGTAATTGAGGCGAATGGGCCTTAATTATATTCCCTTTTGGTTCAAGTATACAAAAATCTTCCCGACTTTCTATACTTTTGAAAGTTGACCCCCCCCCCCCCCATTCAAAAAAGAGGAAAACTTAAGCATCTCTTTTTTTCTTGGTGTTTGTTTGTTTCATGATATGGCAATCTCATTATTTTTCCGGGGAAATAGTTCCTTGTTATCTCTACTTTGTTTTATTTGCCCTACGATTACATTTTGTTGATAAATATTATTTACAAGTATTCTTTTGTGTTATCAAGGTGCGCCCCTCTTTCTCTGTTTCTATCTCTCATGCGTTCTCAATAATATTCTTTTCAGTCGTTCTTGTGGTTGTCCTGGGCCCTGCATTTCAAAGAGTTGATATCAATCGCAACGTATTTGTGATTGATATCAATCACAACTATGTACATAAGAGATGGGAGACTGCAAACTTGTGATTGATTTAGGGACTTGATATTGATTCGGATCAACATCAACTCTTTGTAAGACGGGGCCCTGGTTACCTTTTTCTTTGTCTTTACTTTTTCCATGGAGTTATGCTTTTTCTCACCCCCTCCTTCTCCTCTCTCTATCTTTACTACTCTGGTATGAAAATGCCTTTTTGATCGTTTCCTCTCATCGTTTTTATAAATCATCTTTTATTATCCCCCCCCCCCCCTCTCCCTCTCTCTCGTCTTTCTCTCTCTGTCTTGTTTTTTTAAATAGATATAAGACAATCAAGCTCAGTCTCTGTATTCTTCTTTATCAATTTCCAATTATAATATGTAATCCCAATGTTTTTCCTTCTGATCAAATCTCTCTCTCTCTCTCTTTCTCTCTCTCCAAGGCTCTCTCTAATCAGTGACATAGTATCCTCCTCTCCTCTTTTTTTCACTCAATTTTTCCTTGTTCACATTCGACTGTTATCATTTCGTTATGATCAGACTTGTCACATTAACTTCACTCTCGGTATCTTATAACCCAAATGGGCGTCTCTCCATTCTAAAAACAACTTATCAATCATTTTCGCTACAGAGGAGATTCACATTGAACAGAATGCTAAATTCATTTTAGTTTTTCAATATTTAATATGTACAGAATACATGAATATAAACACATTTCTATTGTATAGATATATTTGATTGTCCATTTCAGGTGATAAATGGATAGAAGTTAAGTTAATATCCTGGAATACTGACGGGACAACTTTATTTGCAATAATTTGCTCCATCAGTCAAAATGTCTTTTTCAACGTTTTAACAGAAAATTACAAAAAGATAACCAAATTGCTCAAGTTCATTATTTTTGAGGTCATGTATATGAAGTCGATTTCTCCATTCTCTTTTGTGAATAATGAAACTAATATTTGCAGATGAGTTCTGATGTTTTGTCTGACATCGCTGTCGTCACTACCATCGATATCATTATCTTCGTCATCACCCTCATCATCGTTTCGCTCGAATCCCTCGTCAACGATGGACCGTGGGGTGATAACCGCTAATGGGTGCGTTAGAATGACCACCGACCGGCAGCACCATCATCACGTCTAGGAACACAGGGAGTGTCGGCACGACGAGTCCCTTGTATTCAGTCGGCACTGTCGAATTGCCGTGATGTTGATAAGTTAAGAAGGGGCACTGCAGAAGTTCAGGGAAGTTGCAAAGATGATACCACTTTCATAACTTTTTTTGGCTCCAGAACTTGGTCATATCGATGGGTTAAAATAATTGATATACAGGAATCAGTTTGTGAGGATGGGTTATATAGTCTTTATAGAAATAGTTTGAGATCAAACGAAATCTATCCCGATTTGAATAGAAGAACGGCGATTTGTCCGAGGTAGAAGTAGATGAAATGCTTGGTCTCGTGCGTTACGTAGCTGCCGAAGTTACGGCCGACGATGCAATGCCAGGTCGGGTTGTACTTCTTGTCGAACTCCTTCTTGATGTGGGCGGCGATGTCCTTCTCCAGATTGAACTTCTCCATCGCTTGGTTGGAGCAGTCGATTGCGTCTTGCTGCATGTCTTCTGACATGTCAGCATTCTTGATCACGGCCTTGCGTTCAGACATGATGACAGGGTTGCGTCTGTAAAACAAAAATGAAATATGTAAATAATGGTTTAGGACTTAAGGGTGAGATTTAATGATAAATGTATAATAGAAGAGGAAGTTAGACCCTAAATCCTTTCCTCAAGTTCAAGTTCAAGTTCAAGTTCAAGTTTATTTTCCACATGTGG